TTGTGGTGAGTACCTGAACACGCCTCTTTCCATCTCTGAGCATCAATTTCTGTCTTGGTTAGATCAAAGACAAGATGCTGGCCTAGTGAGGATTCACTTAGTTCAGTGATGATTAACACAAAAATGCCTGATTCCTGACTATTGAAATATGTTTGTTTCTGTTGCTTCCTCGCCCTGCAACCACTGGAAAGCACAAAGGACGATTTGCCAAAGAGGGAAGCTGCAGCAAATGGAAGTTGCTCTTGCTGTTAGGTAAATAGACATGTATTCCCACAATGGAAGTGTCATCAAAATCACATTTGATAAATGGATAATATATCATATTTAATAATTTATAATCACATTAATGGGGCAGCTGATGTTTATGAGCATTTATAATGTATCAGGCACATGACTTCTGCACAGCTACCCTGTAGGCCAGCTGAAGTTGGGGCCAGCTTGATGAGTGTGTGACCAGCACAAGTTCATAGAGGGCCTTAAACTTTGGGCTTAATGCTCTGTGGTCCTCATCTTGAAATTTGGAATAGTTGTACTTCTGAGTTTTGTTTGTTTGGGCATTGTTATCACATGAGGTCCTGCCTCTTGTCACCTCTGCACTTCTCCCTTCCTGAGATGGGTTCTCGGGTGCCTGCCTGTTCCTTGATCCCCAATCACCCCCCTGCTTCGCTGATTCTGTGGGATACAGGAACAGAGGAAAGGAAAGTGTGTATGCCCAATCATGGAACAGGGTCCTATAGCCCGCCACAGTCTGTATGCACTTTTTAATCACCAGGACCACAACATTAAACAGCTTGACAAACTGAGAAATATCACAGAAAGAGAAAAGCTTTTGGCTCAAGAATTAGGAGACCTGCATCCAACTTCTGACCATGACCCTGGGCCTACTCTATCTCATTTTTTTCTAACATGAAAGTGCTCTGTGGAGTCTTCCAAGATAGCACTGGTATCAGGATGTAGCTTTGCCACTTGTAAAGACTATGATTTTGACCATAAGAAAATCATCGCACCCTTCCTTTCCCTAGAGAACTGCCACAATTATTTGGCAGATGACAGTCACCCACCCTCCATGACACATCATAGCATATAAAGCATTTTCATTCCACTCCCTCCCTGAGCAAACAGTGAGCAGAAGGCGAGGCAGGGAATATTAGTATCCCCACTTTACAGAGAGGAGTTCTGAAGCATCAGAACTTCAGTGACCTTGTTATCACTACACACACTCACACTGCATTTCAGGAAAGTTTTAACCAGGTTAACAGGACTCCACAGGCACAAGGTCACTATCTGAGCATCCCCAAAGGAGAAGCTGCCACCACCTTGGGAAGTCCCAGTGTGGGACAGCACCATGGGGCTCCTCAGGACAGGAGCCCTGGCTCTGAGAGAGTTGGCTTGATCCCTTGACTTGAGTGTCTCATTTCTGAAGAAAGGGACCAGAAGAACAGACAAGAGCTCCTGAAAGAAAGAAAGAGTACGCAGTGTTTAAAGGGTAACTCAGTATCCTGGAGTATGTTTGCTCAACACAGAAGGGATGTGGTCTCCAGAATATAGATAGACATTGGAGCAAATAGATAGACAGATGAGGAAGACTCAGCAGAAGTGCCAGCTCCATCAGGAGTGAGGGCAGGGTCTGCAGAGGTCATTGTAACCAAGTAATAAATCCTTAGCCCTGCCCCATTGCCCTGAGAGACTCAACCATAGTTCTCCTGGTAAGGATGTAGCATTTACAACAGAAAGGTCTCCCACCTTGGCAGGATACCTCTCCTGCCTATGATTTCTGGTGACCATAGGATGTGTCTATGAAATGGAACCTCATCTGTCCTAGTTTGTTTCTCCATTGCTGTGACAAAACACTCTGACCACTACCAACTTGGGGAGGAAAGGGTTTATTTGTCTTACATCTCCCAGGTCACAGTTTATCGGGGAGCCCAAGGTAGGAACTCAGGGCAGGAACCTGGAGGAAGGAGCTGGAGCACAGGCCATGGAGGAACGCTGCTTACTGGCTTGCTCCCTGGCCCCTGCTCAGCCTGCTTTCTTACGAAGCACAGACACATCTACCCAGGGGTGGCACCACCCACAGTGGGCTGGGCTCTCCCACATCACTCATCAAGAAAATACCCCACAGACATGGCCACAGGTCAGGCCAATGGAGGCAATTCCGCAACTGAGGCCCCCTCATCCCAGGTGTGTCAAGTTAACACTAAAGCTATCCAGCACATCATCTGCACCTTTTTTGGGGACGCACCAGTGCAGAACTGTCCAATAAAGCTGTCTGTGGTGGTAGAATTGAATGAGTCTGTGCTTCCTAATAGCTACTAGCCACATATGGCTACTGAGCAAGAAGCCAGTGGTGCTAGGGGAACAAATTTAACACTTGCATTGTATTTTAATGAAGCTAAACTGTACATTTAAGTTGGTTAGATGTGGTTAGTCGTTACTGTATTGGGAAAAGAAGTTGTAGAAACAAGAAGAGACAACAAAAATGGGACAACTGCCTCATGATTTGGGTCTTCAAAAGCACTGTCACAATCATTGTCTCATTGTCTGTCCTATGACATGGGTGTTTATTACACTTACAGAGGGGAAAAACACTCATAAAAGTCAAACAGCCGTCATAATGACAGAGGTAGTATTTCAAGAATGATTTAACCCCAGAGCTCTTTATTCCTAAGCTCTTCCCTACCTCTGTGCAACACTTTCCTCTTTGATATTTCTTTTTAATATTTTATTCATCATCTTTATTTTATGTATATGAGTGTATTGCCTGCGTGTATGCAAGTGCATCCGTGTGGATGCCAGAGGAGGGCGTTGGATCCCCTGTAACTGAAGTTACAGACAATTGTTAGCTGCCATATGGGAACTGTACCCAAGTCCTCTGCAAGAGTAGCTAGTGTTCTTAACCGCTGAGCCATCTCTCCAGTCCCACTTCTGTATTTTTTATGTATCTATCCACTTGTTGTTATTAGGTGTGTACCTCTGGGATAACCACTTAAAGATAAATCAAATACTCACCAGGCTTTGGGTGGGAATCTCCAGGCAAAAGCAGTATGAGTCCCACAGTTAAGAATACAATAATAAAAACTATTTTGACTTTCTACCAGGTAGCTCAGAGAACTTTGTGATAAATACAATTTGTGTCTGATAACTTCACAGTTTATATTTCAGACCTCAGTCTCTGCTCAGAATCCCTAACAGATATACCAAGCAGTCCACTGGAATCCAAATTTGAATATCAAATTGGCTTCTTGAGCTTGCCCCACATCTTTCCCCTCTGAGTAAATGGCAAGGCTCTTCCCATTCTCCACCCCAAGCCTCAGGAGTCAACCATGGCTCATCTAATTTACCAGCAAATATTTAGCTCTGTCTTCAAGAAGCATCCAAAATGCTAGCTAGCCATCCCACCTGGCACCACTCTCATACAGCTGGACTGCCCCTTGTTTCTCCTTGTTTTTTTCCACACAGTACCCAGGGCCATCTTTTTTAACACTGAAAAGCCAGAGTATGTTCCTCTCAACTTACAGCCCCCAATGGTTTCCCAACAATCCTTATATAAGGCCCCAATGTCTCTCTGACTTCATTTCCTACCACTCTTTTTTGGCTAAGAGGGTCTTCCTGGTCATGTCCTGAAGCCATTGTACTGCCCACTCCCTCACTTCCTTGAAAAGTCTGACCAAGATTCCTTTATCAGAGAGGCACGCCCCATCACCTAACCGTGTTTCAGTTTTCCTCATAAGGCTCATCAACTTCTGACACGTGACATATGTGTGTATATTGCTCTCCTATATAAACTGGAGTAGATGGGCAGATAAAATAGAGGAAGACCAGCTGAACTTAAATTTTGGCTAAGCAAGGATCATTTTTCAGTATGAAGTTGTCACAAATATTGGATGGGCTCATGCTTAAAAAAAATGCTGTTATCTGAAATTCAAAGTTTGCTAGTGTTCTGTATTTTATTCGCTAAGTCTGGCAACTCTATACAGAAAGCAAAGATATTGGTTATTTTGTTTACTGCAGCATCCTCAGTGCTAGAATAGCAATGAAACGTCGCCCTCAATAAACATTTATTGGATGGATGGATGGATGGATGGATGGATGGATGGATGGATGGAATGTTCAAACGGAATCTAAAACACGCCTAAAAGAGCCTTCGAGTAAGAGGGGTGGAACCTCTAATTGATGAAGGTCTTTCTCCTCAGGTTGGGTGGAGTCCCGGGTGCTTCGCCAGACCAGGTTCCAGCTCCTCTTCAAGCTCACCTTGGCTCCCTGGTGTTCCTTTATCAGAGAGGCACGCCCCATCACCTAACCGTGTTTCAGTTTTCCTCATAAGGCTCATCAACTTCTGACACGTGACATATGTGTGTATATTGCTCTCCTATATAAACTGGAGTAGATGGGCAGATAAAATAGAGGAAGACCAGCTGAACTTAAATTTTGGCTAAGCAAGGATCATTTTTCAGTATGAAGTTGTCACAAATATTGGATGGGCTCATGCTTAAAAAAAAATGCTGTTATCTGAAATTCAAAGTTTGCTAGTGTTCTGTATTTTATTCGCTAAGTCTGGCAACTCTATACAGAAAGCAAAGATATTGGTTATTTTGTTTACTGCAGCATCCTCAGTGCTAGAATAGCAATGAAACGTCGCCCTCAATAAACATTTATTGGATGGATGGATGGATGGATGGATGGATGGATGGATGGATGGATGGAATGTTCAAACGGAATCTAAAACACGCCTAAAAGAGCCTTCGAGTAAGAGGGGTGGAACCTCTAATTGATGAAGGTCTTTCTCCTCAGGTTGGGTGGAGTCCCGGGTGCTTCGCCAGACCAGGTTCCAGCTCCTCTTCAAGCTAGCCTTGGCTCCCTGGTGTCCTTCGGGGGCGGGGCCTCCCTAACCCGCAGACCAGACCCAGCCCTGGTCCCTTTAACGCCCCGCCTCCCCAGCGCCCTCGTCCGTGACGTCACCTAGCGGGTGACCAATGGGGCTGCGGCTTACTGGCAGGCCTCGCCTGCGGCTGCTGCCTAAAGGGAAGTGAGCTGGGGTTGAAGCGATGGCCCGGGTCTGGAGCTCGCGGCCGCCGCCCCCGCCTCCGCTGCCAGCGGGTCTTGAGCAGCTGCGGCGGGAGCCAGAGCGGGGGCCCCAGGCGCAGCTGGGGTGGCAGCGGTGTGTGTGATTGTGGAAGTCGCCGCTGGCGGAACACCTCACGCTCGGAGTTCTTCAGGCTGGCGGAGCGCTCGCCCCTCATCACCGCGCCACCCCAGGCCCAGGCAGCAGGGCTGGAGTTTGCCCAGGCTCCGGACTGGCTCTCTCAGGCCAGTGTCCCTTCAGACTCAGGACAGAGGCCACAGAAAGGTGGCTTCCTGGCCCGGGCGTGTTCTTGACGCCCTGGCAAGGTCGGGGTTGGAGCGGCCGGGAGGCACTTCCTGCCACCACCACTCCAGCCAAGGATTAGTGAGTTCCCGCTGCCTGCTTTGCGATTCCTCCTCCCTTTCAAGAACAAGTATCTTTTCCCTCTTCTTGGAAATCCTGTCCCAGAGGTCCAAAGTACTTTAGCTTAGTGTGTCTTTCCCCAGCTCCTGGAGCACTCCTAGAAATACTGGCTAGGTCTACAGGACTGAGCATCTCGCATTCTTGACTCCGCTTTTTCAAAAACCCTTTGGCAGATAATAGTTGCTTCCCATTCCATACCCAGGGTTTTATCCATTTGAATCACCAGTTCCTTGGCTATCTCTGTGTGACTTCCTCCACCCACCTGACGTCCACTTTCCTCTGGACTCCATTCTCCAGCACCCAGCGAAGCTGGTCAGTCCCACCCCTGGGTGGGAGTGATCAGGGGGCTCTGGCCCAAGATTTCCAACCCTGGAAGGCAGCTCCAAGGTGGCAAGAGAGGTGGGCGTCGGATACGAACCTGGAAGCTCAGGAGTGGGTGCTCCACTCACTCCACACAAGAAGATGAAAAAGCGCAAAGAGCTCAATGCATTGATTGGCCTGGCTGGAGACAGTCGGAGAAAGAAACCCAAGAAAGGCCCAAGCAGCCACCGCCTGCTTCGCACTGAGCCTCCTGAGTCAGACTCAGAGTCCAGCTCAGGGGAAGAAGAGGAATTCGGAGCTGTTGGAAATCGCTCTCGATTTGTCAAGTGAGTGAAGCAGTGGTGAGGGCTGAAATGGCAAAAGACATCTTGCACTACTAGCAGGGCACATAGATAAGAGAGGGAAATCCTTTGGAAGAAAAAAGGATGTAGACCTTGGAAGACAAAGGATGAAAAAGTGTTGGAGAAAGCAAGTGCAAATCTTGAGTGAAGAATAAGTTAGACATCACTCTTTAGGTGTAACAAGATCTCCAAATCCAGGATGAAAATGTGGACTTGGGAAATGGGCTAATAGCCCAAGAAGGAGTGAAAAGGGTTAAAAATGGACACAGATGGACAGAGAGGCTTTTAGGACTAAGGCCTTTCAAAAAAAGGTCGGTCAAGGGATCTTAAGACCACTATTTTGTGTGCTCTTGATGAGCTTTGATGCTGATGGTAGGGGAATACAGTGAGGGCCATAATGTAGGAACTTTGAGCCTTGAGACTAGGTTGAAGGGTGAGAGGACAAAAATAAGTAATTTTTTTCCCAAACCAGTTTTTATGTGAAGCAACCACTAAACAAATGAGCTTTGCAAACTTTGAGGATAAGAGGGCAGGTTGGGAAAGGGCTAAAGGAAACTTCAGAGGTACCCTTGGACCCTGTCAAAAACCAAACTAGAAAAGAGGATTCTACTGGGATGTTCAAGCAAGTGCTGAACAGGCTAAAAAGAGATCTGGCCTTTTGCTAGTATGTTTAGAAAATGCCTGTATCGTTTTATTAAAGAGTTTTGTTTTTTTGTCTGAGTTTTGTCAGATAAGGTAGTTAAGAACAATCATGTGTTTGTGGTATGGTCATCTGATGAAGTGTTAATCTTGAAATCACCCTGCTGAATTGGTTTAGACTTGAAGGCTGGACAAAGTGTGGTGTGAAATCTAGCCTGTTTCTGTTTTTGTCCTTCTGAGTCAGTAAGTTAAAGAATATCAGGTACCCACTTAAACCTACAGATCTTATTTCTTTCATTCCATTTGCAGTAAAACTTGGTCAAAAGTTTATGAAGTTTCAATAAACTGAAACAAGGTCTCCTGGGGTAAATGAGCATATATTTGAGAGACAAAGAGTGATAAAATTACATAGAACCACTCATTTTTACCCTTCCTCCTTCCCTTCCTTTCTTTTTTTCTTAGCATTACTAAGGATGAAGCCTAGGTTTTCATGCATGGTAGACAAGTACTCTCTACCACCAAGCAAACATCCCTAGCCCTTTTGTGATAACGGGGTTTCACTAAATTGCTCAAACTGGCTTAGAAATTATAATTCCTCTGCCTCAATCTCCCAGCAGTTGAGTGTAGGCATGTGCCCCATCGCTGTCTTGGTTTTTATACTTCTCGAACTGGGCTCATCTCTAAAGACCTCCGTCATAAGTTGATGGCAGCAATCAAAAGCCCATAGGAACTCGTTTCCTGTGCAGTTTGAAACCTTTGTACCTTATAGAGAACTTTCCATAGGTTGTATTATTCAGTCACTTTCAATTACCCGTTTCCCCCTGGTAAATCCACTGGTTACTCATTAGAGAAGATAATTGCATGATACCACATGTGTACTGTTACTAATAAAGCTGTTCTCACAATCCCTTTCATAATCATACTCATGGTTGAATTTATTCTTATGATAGGGGAGACTGCTTACGATGCTGCAAGATCTGTTATCCCCTCTGTGCTTTTGTCATTCTCGCGGCCTGTGTTGTGGCCTGTGTTGGCTTGGTGTGGATGCAGATGGCTCTCAAGGAGGATCTGGATGCTCTCAAGGAAAAGTTTAGAACAAGTAAGTGGTAACCCTTTTGGGGATATAATCTTAGACTCTTTTCCAGGTGTTGGAACAAATCAGCCTATGTTGAATTAGGAGTTTGCCCACCCTGGTAAAGCATTTATACTTTTGTTTAGCATTTTTATACTCTTTCTCAATTAGCAGTTTTAATATTGTAACACTTGTTTTTTAACCCCTAAGCAAAATCATTGTCTGCTGTGTACCAAGACAAGTAGCATTTGAAATAATGGCATTGTAGTCAGCTCAGTGCAGAGGGGAAGAAGTCCAGGAGCCTAGAGCCTCCACCCACTGCCCAAACTTCCCCAATTATAAAGTGGCTATCTAAACACTGGGCTGTTTCCTTCTACCTCAGAGGGCCAGTAGATTAAAACTGTGAGCATTTTTGTGTATCTGTCAGGTGTCTTAACACTTAGTAAACATTATGTACGAACATAGGAAAAGACAATAATTGTAAGAGACACCATTTATGGAGTGCCCCGTGTGTGTGTGTGTGTGTGTGTGTGTGTGTACACACACACACACACACGCTGATGATGAGTATTATTTTGTGTTCTTAAAAAATCAGAAACTGCTGGGCGTGGTGGCGCATGCCTTTAATCCCAGCACTTGGGAGGCAGAGGCAGGTAAATCTCTGTAAGTTCAAGGCCAGCCTGGTCTACATAGAGAGTTCCAGGCCAGCAGGGGCTACAGGGAGACCCTGTCTCAAACAGACCAAAAAAAAGCAGACACTGAGCTGGTAAGATTGCTCAGTGAATAAAGGTACTTGCTACCAAGGCTGACAACCTGGGTTCAATTCCTGAATCCCACATAGTAGAAAGAGAGAACCAACTTTTGTAAGTTGTTCTCTGATCTACGCACACATACGTCATTGCACAGGCACACCCACACACATATACACAAAATAAATAAACAATAAAAATGTTTTAAAAAAAGAAACAGAAGCTACCAAGCATCGTAGCACATGCCTTTAGTCCAAGCACTTGGGAAGAAGAGGCAGGCAGATATCTGAAATTGAAGCCAGCCTGATCTACATAGCAAGTTCCAGGTCAGCTGTCACTACAGGGAGAAAAAAATAATAATTATTATTATATAAATAATAAATAAAATAATAATAAATAATTTAAAAGGAAATAATAATAGTAATAAATAAATAATAAGAAATGGAAGCTTAGAAAAATTAAGTAGTTTGTTCAGCAATTAAATGTAGCAGAGCTGAGACTTGATCCTCTTGCCTCTTGATGCCCATGTCCGTGTTTATAGCCACTACTGCACTGCCTCACTGTTCCTAGAGCTTGTGAAAGCCTGTACACATTTCTCTCAAGTACCTCAAAATTATTTGATAACAGCTTGGATCAGTAGTCTAAGAAAAGTTTAGTAAAAGTTGGAAGAGCTGAATTTTTTGTATGTTTAAGCACAGAGCAAGAACTACTAGATAACCAATTGTTTGCTCTCTATAGATATGCTTGTTGTGACATCTGTTTCAGGGGAAAAAATTTCACATACCATAAATAAGGTTATTGTTTTAAAGTTTTAGAAAACATTTTTGATTCTTTGGAGTAAATTACATATTCATGAAGAGTTACAGTAACCACAGTGGTACTTACCTGCAGCACAATGCAACTAATAGAGATATTTGACTCATGAGTTTTAGATTTAAGAGACTTTTTAAATTTTATATGCTCTAATCATAAGTTTCTGTTTTATACTTCCAAACTATGTTTTTCGGGAAGACATGTTCGTATAGTAACTTAAACAGACTTTCTTTTTTTTAACAACACTAAAATTTTTGGTTTAGACCTCAAGGGTTAATTTTCTAAGCTTACAAACCAGTATCAGGTTAGCAACAAATACCCTTATCTCAATAGCATTAGCACACCAGAAAACTGACTACAGACTTTCTCAAGGTTAGAACAAGTCCTGGTTCTAGAACTGAAATTAAGAGTTTTTTCCATCTTAAACCTAGATCACAACATCCTACCTTTCCTTCACCCACCTTCTGTTGACCTATAGTCATTCAAGCTGTTTCTCAGAGTGTTATTGGTGTCTCTTTTCATCATGCTTGAAAAAAATAAAATTGAAATACTCACTTTGGTTTTCTTTTTAGTTTCTGATTCAGGAAATGGAATCAGGTAAACCATAATTCTTTGCCAGATTCATCCTGACCTACATTGGTTAATCAGAATACAGCACAAAAAAAATAATGAGATTTATACTCTCAGGGTTGTTTCCCTGCTTATTGTTGTTTCTTCAGTATTGCAAGGTATTTCTGAGGCCAGTATTTTTTATATGTAAATAGTAATCATAACTTGGAAACAAAGGTGCCGGAAGCAATGTTTAACTGTAAGTAACCACCGAACACACTTTTCTGCCCCATCAACCCTCCATAATGAGTTGAGCTTCCTAAGCTTGTGCCAAAGCTTGTTTTGATCACATACAGTAATTATATATTTGTACATTTAAAAACATTGCCTAGTTCTGCCCTCTAGAGATTCCTTCTCCAGCTGTTCTGTGCTGTATTTTCAGGATACCAAGATAATTTATACCTTAGCTGAGCCTTTTTTGTTGTTGTTTGTTTGAGATAGGGTCTCACTATGTAGACCAGGCTGGTCTTGAACTCACAGAGACCACCTGCCTCTACCTCCTGTGTGCTTAGATTAAAGGATCACATCATCATACCCAGCCCTTAGCCGAACTTCTCATGGAGCTCTTTGCTTGGAAAATGTAGGACAGGTAGTAGGCTTGACAGTCAGTCAATAAATACTTGTTGAGCATTTGTTAATACCAATCCCTGGAAATAGTATATTCAAGAGATGTCATGAGTTACACCTGCACAGTGGAGCCAGCTTTCTATCACTGAGGAAAATTCTCCTGGGGCCCTGACTGCATTTGTCAAGCCAACAAGTATGAAATTGTCAATACAGTTGTTTTCTTGGCTTTGATTTACCACAATATAAATACCAGCCACCAAGCTGATGACCTGAGTTTTTAATCCTTCCAACACCAGGATGACCTGAAGTTCACATGGTGGAAGGAGAGAACCAACTCTTGTGAGTTGTCCTCTTACCATACACGCATGCCTGGCACATGCATACACCCACCCCACTCCCAACACACACACACACAAGGAAAGGAAAGGGAAGCAGAGGGGAGAGAGGAGAAGGGAAGGAAAGGGAAGGGGGGAAAGAGAGAGGAAGGAAGGGGAGGGTAGGGAAGAAGGAGAGAGAATGGTGAGGGAGGGAGGAAATGGAAGGATTAAAAACTAAAAAGAAACACCAGCACATATAATAGCTAAAAGCAGGACTTCTGAGGGAGGGAGGTGTGTAGGGTCTGGAGTGCTCAGATCATAAGCTGGACTACTATGGACTGTTTGCTCAGTAGTTTTGCTGGAAAAACCAATTATCTTGACTAAATGGTGGCAATTTTGTTGTTTAAATATTTTTTTGAATTGCGCTTCTACTTTAAATATATTTCAGTAAGTTTATTTTTTACTTTTTAATACTCAGCAAGACAGTAGAACTCCCTGACTCAAATAAGACCACCTATTTATTGACTTTAATGCATTTTTGAGAAATTTAGAGCCCCTTGTTCTTTTATTTATTTATTTATTTTATGAGTGTTACGCCTGCATGTATATGTGTACTTCTGTCATGCAATGCCCACAGAGGACAGAAGAGGGCATCAGATCCCCTGTAAAGTCAGTTGTTAGCTGCCATGATGGTGCTGGGATTTGAACCCTGGTCTTCTTCAAGAGCAACCAGTGCTTTTAACTGCTGAGCCATCTCTCCATCCCTGTCTTGTTCCTTATTTTAATAAAATTTTCAAAGAACTTGTGAGGAACAGGAATATTGCAAAAATACCTAAAATAGAAAGTAAAGCAGAGAAGCTTACATTTTTCCTTGCAGTCAGATTAACTTGATTATTAACTTAAAAGACTAGCTGGCCTTGAAACTCTTAATTCTGTATCTATTGTCCAAAATCAGGTATTTCAGAAGACCTCAACAGTTGTTCTAAGGAAAATTCTGTCTCCAACTTTTCTTCTCTGTCAATGATGAGACATCAGAGAGAAAGAAAAAATTACAAAAGCAGGAAACTAGTAATGAATCAGGCATCTCCTTTTCTGGCCATACAGAGAAAGTAGTGATTTGGTATTTAGTACCGAATTTAAAATGGTTTTGGATTAATGCAGATGCAAAGATGTGCCTGTGACATCTTGAACATACTAGAAAGAGTATTGGTCCTGTGAGCACAAAGTTTGACTGTTTGCATCTTTGTTTCTTGTTACCATAAAATTTGAACAATCACATATTCTTTCTGAGCCTATATTTTCTTATTCATGAAACATGAAGCTGTATTTTTGCCACCAAAGCACTTTGGTCATTTCTCTGGTATGATATCTGTCACATATGTCACATTTCCAATAATCCTCACTAACCACCCCCCCAGACTGAGAACTACAAAGTGTTTTGTATACAGTGGAGTTAAGTATAGGACTCAGTAACTAAGTAGGGGCTCAGTAACATTATTTAATGATAATTACATAAAAGCTTATTGCAAATTATGAAGACTTTGTATAAATATAAAATATTGGTATCAACATTATTATATTATTAGGGCTACAGAGATGGCTCAGTGGTTAAAAGTACTGGCTGCTCTTGCAGCGGACCTGGCCCAACCCCCACATGGTGGCTAATAGCCATCTGTAAGTCCCATTCCAGGGTATCCAACACCCTCTTTTGGCCTCTCTAGGCATTGCACATGCAGATGCCCTTACATACATCTAGGCAAAACACTCATAAACAAAATAAAAATAAATAAATTTTCAACATTATGTGTGTTATATTTGAGTGGTATGTTCTGAAATTTCCATTTCCTAATTATGAAGATGAGAAAATAAGAACTACATAAAATCTTTTGAGACTCAACATATTAAATTTTAAATGAGTTGCTTTTTTGTTAAAGAACACGAGTAAGTAATTGTAAGTTGCTTGTTTGCTCTACTTCCTCCCATTCATGTAATAAAAATGCTTCAACTTGACTTGGCTCCCCTAAAAAGCCCAAATCAGATAGTGATTATGATTCCTCTTGGTTTATAGTCTCAGGATCCAGCGTGTCCTCAGGGCTCATCAGCTTTACATATTTATTAGTTAATAGTTAAACTCTGGTTTACATATTTGTCTTATTTCTTTTCTACCTCTGTGACCTACTTAATGCATATAGACTTCAAGAGAGACCCCCCAGGGTGTTTGCCCACCTGAATGTTGAAGATATTCATGGAGTGGTGTTTTTCTTCGGTTTCCCTGTAGCCCCAGCTGGCCTAGAACTCACTCTATAGACCAGGCTGGCCTGGAACTCACAGAGATCCACCTGCCTCTAACTCTGGAGTTCTGGGATTAAAGGTGTGCACCACCACACCTGGCTCTGGTGGGTTCTTCTTTATAGCCTAGCTGAAACTGTATAAGAAAATTCACTGATATAGAGCTGCATTAGAATGAGTAGTGAAATGCTTTTACTGAGATGAATCTATTCCTGCAAAGCATATGTAAACCAAATGCTACCCTAAAAGTCTACTTTGGAAAATGATTGAAAAGACCTCATTTCTTTTCATTACTCTGAATTTTTTTGTGATGGGCTTGCTTTAAATAGAGATACTACTACTAGCCTCAATTTTTGTGGGACTTTTTTGTTCTTAGGTGTGCTTTTTATTTAGTTAGTTGCTTAGTTTTCTTTGTTAGATTGAAGAGGGGGGTAAGGTAATGAGAAGTATGGTTGAGAGGTAAGCAAAGGCCAGATTTATTGAGGTAATATTTATTGAGTGCCTAAAATGTGTATTCTAAGTGTAGACCATACAGAAATGGACAAAACCCAATCATGGAGCTCACATTTTAGTAAATTATTTTATTTTGGTCTTTGATGTGAATTTTTGGTCTTAAAGAAGGCATATAGTAACTAATCAGGCAGTCTGTGACTTGAAGAAAATGATAATAGGTTTTATTCTGGAGGAATAGCCATTATCAATATTTTATTTTTCTTTTTTTATATTTTATTTATTATTTTTATTTTATGTATATGAGTATATTACCTGCATGTGTGTAAGTGCAGCTGTGTTGTGCGGTTCCCATGGAGGTCAGAAGAAGGCGTTGGATTACCTGGCACTGGAGTTGCAGATGGTTGTTAAGATACCATATGGGAATCAAACTTGTGTCCTCTGCAAGAGAAGCCAGTGCTCTTAACTTCTGAGCCATCTCTCCAGCCCCAATATTTTATTTTTCATTAAGAGGAAAAATACTTTTTAAAGAAAGAAGAAAGAACATTCTGCCAGGCCTCTACCTTCAGACTGGCAAATCACTAAACCATGCAGGCAGAACCTATTGTTTCACAAAAAGTCCAGATATCTCCCTGTACTTCACCTGGCATGTTTTTTTATCTTCTGTTTCATCAGACTTTTGAATTGGTTCAAGAAAATACTGCTATTCATGACAAAAAGTTAAAAATCTTAATTTTATATCATGAATATCACCACTTTGTAGTCAATCAATTTACAGTAGAAAAAATAGATTTAAGTCTTTAGAAATGTAGTTTCTAACAACATCTTGATCATTCATGGGGTAGGAGTTGTAAGTCTTCATTGACTAATCTAAAAGCCAGACACTTAACATTTATTTGTCATTTACCCTGTATGCCTAGCCAGTTAAGTGCTTCACAGTTATTCTCTCATTTAATTCTAACACTCTTGGGAAGTATATCTTATCACTGCATTACAGATACGGAACTTAGCTCAAAGAATTTGAATAATTTATTCAAAATCATAGTAAGCTATAGAGTTGAAATTCACATTCAACTCTTTCTGTTTGTTTTCTTTCTTAGAATTTTTAGTGACTTGCCTTCATTGTCATTGTTTCATACTCTGGGGAATCCAAGGGATTCAGTGCCTTGTATATGCTAAACAAGAGTTTTACCACTGAGCCAAGTTGCCTAACTTTTTAAAGTTCGTTTCCAGCAATAAAATAATCCCAGTTAAAACAGAGGTTTAGGGGCTGGAGAAAAGACTGAGAGGTTAAGAGCACTGGCTGTTCTTGCAGAAGACTGGGTTCTGTTCCCAGCACCCTCTTCTGACCTCCATAGTCACTGAGCATGTGTGATGTACTTACATACATGCAAGCAAAACACTCATACATATAAAAATGAATACTAAAAATTTTTTCAGAGGTTTAGTGTTAAAGATCCACCTTTACAAGGCTGGAAAGATGGCTTGGCAGTTAAGAGTACTGGGCGCTCTTGCCAAGGACCTGGGTTTGGTTCCCACCATCTAGGTGGTGGCTAACAACCATTTGTAACTTCATTTCCAGGGGACCCAAGGCCCTCTTCTGACCTCTTCAGGCATTGCATGATGTGTGTGCACTTACTTGCATGCAGGCAATACACTCATACACATAAAATAAAAATAATAAAATATTTTAAGAAGATCCACCTTTATATAAATAATAGTGTAGCCCTGTCCTCAGTTTTCTTTTTTCAATTAGGTAAATATGAATTAAATCATTATCACCCCAGAATTAACTTTTATTTCCCACCCTGTGATCATTTTTTCCTCTTGGAACCATCTGTTTATTTATGATTGTTCTTATTTTTGCTTTTAGTGGAATCTAATCAGAAAAGCTCATTCCAGGAAATCCCCAAACTTAATGAAGAACTTCTCAGCAAACAAAAACAACTGGAGAAGATTGAATCTGGGGAACTGGGCTTGAGCAAAGTCTGGATCAACATCACAGAAATGAATAAGCAGGTAGCAAAAGTGTGTCTTTATTTCTATGGAAGCTGTAAATATTTACATTGATTCAGGTTGTTTGTCTGTCTAAATTGAAGTTTCCCTGCTGGAATCCCAGCAAGTTAAAATAATAATTATTTGCCAAAAATTTAAATTCATTTACCAAATATTTTAAATGTTAGCCCTTTCTGCAAATGAACAGAATTGTACAGAGAGCAGTATAGAGGGAGTTGAAAGTAATTGAGTCAGCTTTTTCTACAGAGAAGTATAGGTATTATATAATAAGGAATGCCATCTAACTCCGAAGAAAAGTGGATAGCCTATTGTTATTAGATAATGAGAGCCTTATTTTAAGAGTGTTTACAAACTTAGCACTACAGTGTAATGCTTGTGGAAAGACAAATCTAAAACATTCACACAGCTATGGTAGTCATTCTAGAATAGCTTAAGAGCAAATGATAGAGTCAGTTAATCCTTTGGCCAGGCAAGGCAAACCGAAACATAAACTTTTTCAGTCTAAGTTGTCCAGAGCTCGGTAGGCACTGCTTCCAAAAGAAGGAACCTACCACAGAAAGGGTATTTCTAAGGATGCTGACCAAGAATCTCCCATGTGTAAAGAGCTGTTATTGCCACTGGGAACTATAGCCCCATCCTCAGGTTGTTTGTTCGGTTTTTGATGTTGTTTTGAGGTTGATTAGGAAAGATACTGTATTGAAAAGAAAACTCAAGTGCAAAATACATTAAATGAGGTTTGTCATCTTTGTTGGGACTAAGAGAATATTCTCTTCAGAGTGGAGTCACAAAGAACAGAATGAGCCAGTGGAAGGGGGAGCACTTTCTTAGAAAAAAGTGCTTGTCATTATTTCTAGTCATACATTTTAGCCACATTTTGGGAGTAGGGTAATTCAGTAGTTGAAGCTGGTCTAGGAAAATAGCTTCCAAACCTTTACCTGGAACCCACAGTAAGGACTATCTTCATAGCCCAGTAAGCACATACGTGACGATATGCTGTGGTTTGACTGCATTCCCCTGTTCATGTGTTGAAAACTTAGTCCCTAGATTTATATGTTAAGTGTGTGAGGACGGGGAGCCTTTGGTGGTGTTAGAAAAGAAACCCAAGCCGGGCGTGGTGGCGCACGCCTTTAATCCCAGCACTCGGGAGGCAGAGGCAGGTGGATCTCTGTGAGTTCAAGGCCAGCTTGATCTACATAGTGAGTTCCAGGACAGCTGGGGCTACAGGGAGACCCTGTCTCAAAAAGACCAAAAAAAAAAAAAAAAAAGAAAGAAAAGAAACCCAAGCTAGCACATTTGCTTGGTCTTATTTCAGTCTTGTGATGCCCTCCATTATATTTTGAAACAAAAAGACCCTCAACAGATGCAATCACCATGCTCTTAAATGAGCTAAATAAAACTTTATAAATCACCCACCCTGTGGGATTCAGCTGTTGCAACAGAAAATGGACTGACACTATAAGTAGCTGAGATTAAAAACTTCTGAAAACAGTGACTCACCTTTAATATCATTGATTCCTTATATTTTATTTCCTATTCATTTCTATTTTGAGTTTTGCAAGGGGGGGGAGATATTTTGTTTTTTAAAACAAAGTATCATTATGTAGCCCAGGCTGCCCAGATTGCTAGGATTATAGGTGAACCACCATACCTGGTTCTATTTATTTTAATCATACATGAAATAATTGATAGATGATAGCAGCTAGGATTTACTACTTGTCATTTATCCATTTAAAGAAAAACAGATATTCACTCCTTTTGTGCACAGAGAATAGGATCAACTCTGGCCTTACATTTCCATAGCAAATGAGCAATATAGACAGGGATTACATCAGGAGAAAGTAGACTACACTGAAGCTCTGAGAGATAATTAACAGCTCTCCTGGGGCAATCTGTGAATTCCGGTAGCCAGAATGGAGATAATCATTCTCACACAAGGATAAGATTGCCTTGTATAAAGAGGCAATACCATGCTGTTTCCCTCTCCTTCTTATAAATTGGCATTCAAGGAAGACTCAAAAGAAAAATTGGTACTTCATGTAGTGTAAGAAAACACATAGATCATTGGTTTTAGTTTCTGAGTTTTCTTTAACCAGGAATCTGGACACAAAAGAATCATTTTATTCAGCACTTGGGAGGCAGAGGCAGGCAGATCTCTGTGAGTTTGAGGCCAGCCTGGTCTACATAGCAAATTTCAGGCCAGCTGGGGCTACAGGAAGACCCTGTCTCAAAAAGACAAAAAAGAAGAAAGAAGAAAGAGAGAAAGAAAGAGAAAGAAAGAAAGAAAAAGAAAGAAAGAAAGATGATAGATAGATAGATAGATAGATAGATAGATAGATAGATAGATAGATAATAGATGATAGATAGATAGATAGATAGATTTTATTCTTGGCCTGGTCGTTTTTAATGTAGGAAGTACCTGGGATGCAGATATATAGAGAAATTTATTTAAGTCATGGGACTTTGTATATGAAATTGGAGAAGGTTGAACTGAAACTCTTTCCATTTTAGCTTCACCATAGTTTCAGAGATGATAGGACTGACTTCTGAGGCCAACCTAATGCAGAGGAATTCTCAGCTAGCATAGACCCAGAAGAATGGATGGTGGGGAAGTAGAGCTATATGTCATTTCCAGAGGCAGTTTAGCACTCTGAGTGGTTTTCTCTGATGGTCTATTCAAGTAAGAGGCATTTTTCCTGAACCAAAATAGGTATAAAAATAAAATTAATATTTAATTGTGTTTCTTTATCTAAAGGTACTTTGCTTTAAGGTGCTTCTAGTAGCAATTCAAAGTAACTTAAGAAAATGTATTCTATCACTTAACAAGGAGTGTCCTTTTCACAAAGTGATTTGAAATTAATGCAGTCTGGAAAAAAAGCCATCAAGGTTGAGAACATTAAAATCAAATTTTACCTTGAAAAATCTTAAAACTAGTACTTAGAGCCTCATTTAGATTTGTTTTATTAATGAAATTTCTGAGAGTGTACTGTCACCTGTTGACCATTATAAGAGTCTCCTCCCTTTCTATGAAGAACAAATATTTACAAAGCTGCTTTTATGGAGCTAGGCCTTACAGATTCTGTCTTAGTCTCTTCAGACTTCTCTAACGAAATACCTTAGACTGAGTAACTTATAAATAAGAATTTATTGCTCAGAGTTCTGGAGATTCAAGAGTTCAAGATTGATCTCTGATGAAGGCTCGTTGTCTGCTTCATACCTGATATGTCTTGCTGTAACTTCATGGCAGAAGCAACAGAGGAGCTTCCTTGAGCTCTTCATGAGGGTAGAGCCCTCACATATCATGTCTGAAAGGCTCTACCTTTTAATGCTATCACATTGGAGATTTTCAGCATGTAAATTTTAGGGGGGCACCAATATTCAGACCATAGATTTAAAACCAAAAAGATGTTAACGCCTTCCTTCAGTGATCTTACAGACAAGTGGACGAAGTAAGAAAGTAATCAGTCTTAAACAGGGTAATAAGCACTAAAAAGCAGATCCAAATGGTACTGGGAGGGCGTATTCAAATGTGTATACCCAACCCAGGCTGGGGTCAGGTGATGTTTCCCAGAGATGTTGAATTGAGTCCTGTAGGGAAATAGAACCGGGGAAACTTAAAAAAGAAGCAATTACTGTAGGTAAAACAGTACAGTTGATCCTCATAATTTTACCTACTTGCTAAAATTTCTTTGTAACCTCAAACTCTATACTTCTGAAGCTTTTTCAGTCATTTTATATGTACAGCAGCAAAAAGAACTGAGTCACCCAACACATATTTATAACTGAAGTTGAGCAAGGCAACATACTCCTTTCTGTTCCAGTTCTTGTATTATAAACAAGTGGTTTTTGTGGTATCTTTCATGTCATATTTTTCACACTTTTGTCCTTTTTGTTGGTGATTTCCCTGAGGAAAATACCTGTTGGGTAGGCTTCCTTCAGGTATGACTTGCAGTGCTGCTGACAGTGAACTCAGTAAGTCAATAGTCTGTATTAAATAAGAAGTTTAAATGTAAACACGTGTAAAATAAGGCTATGTATTAAATTGATAAGTTAATGAAAATGATGTGACCAAACGGCTCATAGGAACCTAACCCCATTCCCTAGGAGCAATAATGTAATGTTCAATAATTCAGTGTTTGCTGCAGCTTTTCAAGAGATAACTAATAATAAGAATGGACTATATTTGTAAAAGGGTAGATAAGTATAAAGACTGTGTATTGAGGAAAATTTATTCCTTCCTTATAGCCCTAATTGAGCACAGAAATAAGGCAAAGATAAAGTAAGCCAACAAGAACAATTGTCAAGAACCTTAAGTGCCCTTCTGTAGTAATCTACTGATCTTGGTCCAAATTGCCTCATGCATGGTGATGAATCATGGTGGTGGTGCCACATGGTGATAACTGCTCTACATTAATGTTTTATTGTGGGGGCTGGAGAAATGGCTCAGCAGTTAAGAGCACTGGCTGCTCTTCCAGAGGACCCCAGTTTGGTTCCCAGCACCCATGTGGCAGCTAACAACCCTCCTTAACTCCAGTTCCATGGGATCTGACACCTTTTTCTGACCTCTGTGGGTATTGCACAACACAGGTGCACTTACCTACATTCAGGCAATATACTCATACACATAAAAGAAAACTAAGAAATAAAATATATTTTAAATGAAAATTTTAAAATGTTTGTGCGGGCCACACTGTTAACTGCATTACACATATGGTCGCCTTTGTTTCTGTAGTCATGTGAAGTAGGAAAGTGGTACTTCCATTTTACAGGTAAGAAAATTGAGAGTCAGAGAGGTTAAGTGATTTGCCCAAAACCATACAGCTGTGTGGCAGTGCTAACTTTAAAATGCTCAAGACTTGGGAGCCTGTTTTCTTTCCTTTTTATCATTCTACCTTCCATTTTTATATCCCCTGTAGAATTAAGTAGGTATTCAAAGATGAAAGACTATGATGTTGTGTCCTGACTTAGTGGTCCCTACTCATAATCATTACGATTACCTGTTTTAG